GTGAACACCCAAGGTCACACAGAGAGTTCTTATCTATCGTCGTCATCTTTTGTTCATCAGGATTTGCAAAGCTAATGTCCTTGTTTATTTTCGACTGTTCTGGCTGAGATACAGTGGATGCCCTACCTCATAAAATGTCGGACGAAATTCTGAAATGCCTGTTTGTTTCGAGAAAAATACATAAGGAAACTAGAGAAGAAGATGCGGTCTCTGGGATGATACTTTTATTAGGCTTACGTTTTGAAATCCGTCGTGGATTCTTCCCAAAAACATTATCATAAACAGCAGCAGCAGTAGTAACAATTTATGTTACAGTTTACACTTAAGTAGACTTGTAAGACGGATTACCACGTAGCTTAATCCCAAGATTTTTCCATCATGGCAGGATGTGGCTTTTGACTCAGCTTCCCGCATAAGGTATGCTCTATTTAAATTGATACTTGAGTATTATGGGTCGTCTCTGAGGCAGGATATGAAAACAGGAAACGCCCATCATACAGACAGCTTCGCGCTAAATTACAGCGAAATTAGGGATTAGGTTGAGGGTCAAGCGTAGTGCAATGATGAGGGTTAAGGTGTAGGTTGTTGTTAAGCTTGCTTTTAGGGCTAGGACACGAAAACTTTGTGCAAGGCCACATATTCGTACTCCTATTTTTTGTCAGAGGAGACATATGGGCAATCTCAGCCAAAAAGCAGACCTCGGCTGTCCCCATCTCAAGCTCAAACAGCTGGTGTGAAATCCGATTTAGCCAAATCAGCCTACCAAACGTTCCCGACTCCACACGCCCATTCACTGTGAGGGATTGCGAAGATTTTTTACTTTGGACTTGATAACTCTGAATGCTGGTAGTCTGAAAATACGTTTTTTTTCATTGATACTACTCGTTGGCATTGCCGCTTGAAAGTGAGCTTGCTTCCGTCCTTTTGAGGAAGTCGGACTGAATAAGGGTTTTACGGCTTTCCACGCTAAATACCAGTGAAAAATACTTCATCTTAACGCCCATAATGAATTTATGCCCAAATTTGCAACCCTAGCTTGCATTTTCAAACCTTTTATAGACATGCTGCGAGCCAATAACTGGACCGAAACTTAAAGTGGTAGTTTGTTTTGGGAGGTTTGTCGTCTGGACAAGCTTCATTTAACAGCACAAAATAAAAGACATCACTACACAAAAGAAATTTTATTATATTCTAAAAATATTGTCCTCTTGAATGTACATCTGCATCAAGCAATTTTGGGGATAATTCGGAGAACCGAGAGATCATACTTCCATATATATGCATCGGCCAGTTTTTGAGGTATAAAATAGCATCACAGTTTTAAACAAGCTTAATTCGGGCACAAAATTAAGATCAATATTCATGCCTAAGAGGGAACATTTGTCCTACCAACTGGTCCGGTGGTTGCGACTCGGAGGCATACGGTTGCTCTAGAAGACGCAATCCTGGGTTGGAACCCTGTAACTTTTGTACATTCCTTTCCATCGCCTTCGTTCCTCCCTGAAGGCTTGTTCCCTTTCCACATCTTTGTAGGTAGGCGTCACTGAGCAGCACAGAGTGTCCTCCGAGGAGGCAGATGTCGTGGATAATTCATTGGGGGGTGGCATATAGGCCCTTCGGTGTGAATGTGACCGTCCTGGCCAGGGATCTACCACCATATAGCTCTTACGCGTTGGTCCCATTGTGGGCTGGTACTCAATGAATGTCTGCTTGGAGCTTGTCCTATTTTGTTGCTGGAGGACCGCCGGAAGTTTGTACACCTTGCCTTCGCGGCGACTGAGCGGGACACCCCTGCGTCGACAAGGCGGCACGCGCGTATCGGAACCGGAAAACCCGTCGTAATTCCACTGACTATCAAAGGTTCTCTGACCAACACCTGTATCGCTTGCGGTCTCGCCTAAAAACAGTCCATCTATGTAGTTGACATTGGAAGCCTCAGAAGCATCGCTTGCTACCTTCCGTCTGCTTCTCTTCCCCCTCATTGAAATGTGCTCATCGTCGGTTTTCTTCCATGTTCTCACTGACCAGTCCTCATTTCTTGCGGTTCGAGCTCCGACTTTTCCACCTGCCCTATTATGCTTATCGGTGTTCTGTCCGTCTGTGAGGCTTCTCGTTTCTGAAGGCCCCTCAACTCCGGGAGAGTGTGCGTTGTTGCCATTGAGTGCGTCGAAAAATTTGTCCACTGCCGCACTGTCTTCGAACCGAATAAGATAGAGGAGCACAGGGCCGTCTTCCTCCCTTTTCTTTTTCTTGTCTTGTGGAACTTGAAGGCTGAAGACATTTGGATCGGCGGGGATTCTGCCAATGTCATTGATCTCTGCCAGGACGATGGGATACTGCTTTTTAGCCTTTTCGATGCTCTCGAAGGCGATCCGCGTGGTGGAGACTTTGGCAACATACCTGTCTTTGGGATACATCTTCTTTTTCTTATTTATCCTTTCATGCACTTCCTGTATGGCACTCTCTTTGAGGAGATGTGAGGCAGATTTCCGCTTAAGAATTGCGCACATGACCAAGGTTTCCTTATCTCCGTTGTCATAGCCTGAAGACTGCATGATCAGGCGTCCTGTTCCTTTTCACTGTCTTCACTCACTGCTCGTCAGGCACCCACACAGAGTAACGGTATAAATTGTGAGTGCTGCTTGCGCGCATAGGGTGGAAAAAGCTGCCAGCGTTAATGGACTGCAATACGGAAGTTAGCAGCCAATGGGATGGGAGTTTTGCTTTCTGTTTGGGCTCACATGCAACCGGATTCGTCATTCGACATCCCACACTGAGTCTATTATTATGTGCGGTTGCGAGTTTAATTGTCCCACGCGTAAATGACTCATTTTACGGTCGCATATCTTACTAGGCAGAACCCGCAGTAAATGTGTTATTTCACAACTGGTCAAGCCTAATTCCGAACAGTGTTTTTTTGTTTTGAAAAGATGGGTTGAGTAGAGTTCTAATATTAAGTAGTATTTAGAAACATTCCCAAATATGTTTGGGATTTGGCAGATTTCAATAACTCGATTGACCCAATTGTGAAAAATTCGCGGGCTCAGTGGAAGTCGAATCCACACAGCAGGGAAGGACTCTGCGCAGCCAGCACTCTATCATTTGAGCTATAAGGCCATCCGTGCGCCGTGAGTTTAATCACAAATGGGTCTAGCAATCAGCTAACTGCGTCCATATTGGTGGATTCCATACGTGCAGTAAAGCTGGGCAGACAAATCGACATATGCGTGATAAAATTCACGGCGCACGGTGAGCATCGTCGCTCAAATATTGGAGCGTTGGCTGCGCAGACGCCTTCCCTGTTATGTGGGTTCGTCTCTTACCGAGGCCACAACATTTTCACAATTGTGTCACTCGAAATACCATGTATTTCAGGCACATAAGGACGCTGGCAGTTTCAGCATCAGTTTCTATAGTGTATTCCTATTACACGAGAGGCAGCGAGCTAGAAATGGCAGTCGAGAACGTTTATATGCCAATATGCTGCATCGGCGCATGGTACGGGAAGACGTTGAATACATTAGGTCAGCATCAAGGTGATGGACAACATTATCGAGAATTCAGTCAGCGGATTACCTGACCATTGTGAAGTTTCGTTTTATACTAATGCCAACCAAAGTAAATAAGAAATTCCGGCAGCCGAAAGAAGCAGTCAGCCGATGTGTTTAAATATCACTAAGTCTTTTTCAAGTAAGGCTGATGAAATAACCGGAGAACAGTAGAAAATGAGGTGGAGAATACAGCCATCTAGGAATTACCACGCTAAAGCTTGAGCTGTGTAATAGGAACTTAACCCAATAAATATCATATAAGTGTTTATGAAATTTTGGTCAAAAGGGTGTAGGAGTCTGCCGCCTAGCCCAACTGCGTGTGAGTCAGGCTGTTCTCGGATGCCATAAATTGCATCCCGCGTGATTAATTAGCACGCGTCGGCTTATAAAACGACATTGATTGATACGCAGCTTCATACGTGCGTACGCTTGATGTCAATCAATACTTAGGCCTTGTCTGATTGGTGGCAGCCGAGAGAGCAATCGTCCCGCAGCCAAAGCCTCACTCACCCAGACAAATTGGCGTACAGTTTTGGCGTGTTGCTGGCAGTTGCTCCATAACACGGTCTCTGTACCGTCGATTTTTCCGGGAGTAAACTTCTGTCCACCACCACTGCCTTACTTGCCTTGTGATTTGGAGGAACCTTCTGCTTGTCGACACTACAACCTGCAACGAGTGGTTCAATCGGTAGAGAAAATGAAATATGAGATTTCAGTTTACCACCAAACCACCTAAAAGGGAATGACTTGTTAGGTATGATGTCTAAGGATTTAGGACTGGGAAAGTGTCGCAATCGGAGTACGCACTAGACCAGCCCATGGTTATTCCGTAGAAGACGACTGTCTAATAGCCATGCTGAAACGTGGACAGCCCATGTTTCAGAATCTGGAGGTTTGTCTGATCTTAAAAGGATGCCTTGCAAATATATAATCGTATATTTACATACAAATCGTCATTTGGCAGCCGCACGTCATCAGTGTAGAGGGAGAAGTGCTGAGAAGATAAGGTATAGCCTTGAAGAACTCCGAAGTTGTGAGGAAAGACCGTGGATTTTACTGTCTTTTGAACAAATTGAGAACGGGAAGTAAAAGGGTCTGTAAGTCAATCGATTTTCCAGGCAGGAGATCTCGCGGTGAATCCTGCGGGGTTTATAACGAGAGTAGACTTGCGGAGAATCCATCCAACTTTCTCATTACTCCGACACCGGAGCCCGATGTGGAGACAAAAGTCGACGTTTCAAAAGCCAACAGGCTTCCATCGTCGGTGGAAGTTAGTTTGTCAAGCAAGGCAACGAACCTGGAGCGCGGTGGTTAGGACGTTGGACTTCTAACTAACAAGGTCACGGGTTCGAGCCCCGGGAATCGCCACCCCTGGAGTTGGGTATAGCTGACTGATGATGCCTAATAAGCCAGAAACGTACGTTGCAGTCTCCCTTGCCTTTGTAGGTAACGTATATCTGTCTATAATATGCTAGCTGTTG